TTTAGTTACACCAAAACCCTTTTGAATTGGGGTGGTTGTCCCCTTGGGGGCATCACAGGGGTGGTTTCTCCAAAGCCCGGTTCCTCTGCCTATCTATTTAGCATGGCTCGATGGCACAAGCGGTCACCTCGGACGTACCAGCTTCAGCCAACAAGCTCGCTAGCTTCAGCCACACAAAAAGGTAACACCAAACAAACACTTTCAGATAATGCTTCCATTTTCATAATGGGTGAAGAGACCAGCTCAAGCGAGCAAAATATTGGCCAAATGTAGTGTACACTTTTGCTGTTTCCTGCTTTATGTGTTACCTCTGCTGGAAGAGGCTAAGACCTTCATTGGGATCCATATACTAATATGCATATATCTGACCAGCTCTGACCAGTTGTAAGGCTGGAGCTGGCCAGGACTGACAATGTCACAATGTCGTCACAGGCACGCGTGTTTGGCACCACGGGGCGCAACCGTCGGTGGAGGAGGCCTCCATGTCGTCCGGTTAAAATATGACACACTGATATTTAGTTACTCTCTCCGTGCCCGCTGGGTTGCCCGAACCGCAAAGATGTGGAAACTGCAAAAAAGGTAGATGCTTAAGTAGGAGTGCAGGGCCCCTTTAAAGAGCCTCTGAAAAGAGAAAAGAAGTTTTTTAAACAGTCCGGTTGGGACACGTGTGCCGGGAAATTAAATTTAAGCAAAAAGGAATTTTTTTAGTGTAATATTGATGGTGTGAGACGTGATTTAGTCGGTAGTCACCTCCTTTACACTTGTTTTCTCTATCGCCATTTCGCGCGCGTGAAGGAAAGGTGGATTGGCTTGGCCATCTCGTTAAAGGACACATGCAAAGGAAAAAAACATTTTTTTTTAAACAGCTTAGATGGAAAAAGGACACCATAAAACGATTTTACAACGAAGAAAAAAAATTTTTAGAGCTATATTTACGCCGCAAAACGAATTTGTAGTTGGCGCCCGCGGGCACCGCGGAAAAGTGGTCTGTATTTATCACGTGACTGGTCTTTCTTTATCACGTGGTGCTTGCGCTCTTTCGGAAGCTTCCTATGGCCTCTAAAAGTAACTTGTTCATCTTTGTTTGAAGTATAACAAAAAACCAAGACGAATAAGTAACTTTTAGAGCCCAAAGAAAACTCCTGAAAAAGCGCAAGCAGACGTGATAGACCTGTGCGCCGGTCAGACGACGGCGGCGGCGCCCCGAAGCAGACGAACTTGTGCGGCGGCGGCGACGGCGGCTTGGAGAAACGCGTTGAAGCGGCGTTCGCACGACGCTCAGCGTGCGGCGGCGACGCAGCGCGGCGGCGCGCGGGCCTACCACGTGACCAGCGGCGGCTCCCGCGAGCGCCAACTACAAATTCGTATAGCGCCGTAAATATAGCTCTAAATTTTTTTTTTCTTCGTTGTAAAATCGTTTTATGACATCCTTTTTCCATCTAAGCTGTCTAAAAAAAATGTATTTTTCCTTTGCATGTGTCCTTTAAGTTGAAAAGAGTGTATAACCATTCCGTGACGTCATGGACTTTGCGCGCAGAATTTCAAATAAATCTCGCGCTGCCAATATCGCTCTAATTTTTTTTTTTTTTTACGCGTAAAATTTGTTTTGACACGCATGTCACAATTATACTGTCCATAAAGAACATATTTTTTTTCCTTTTGGGGGCCCTTTAAGGACTGCTCACACGCTTGTGTTCAACTATGACCGATTGAGACAAGGCCGGTTATTAAGCCTCTTGCGATGGCTTATGACCAGCTGCACAACAATGCAGAATGTTGTAAACACTCACAAGAGGCATAAAAGCAGGTATTTAGCCTCCTGTCCTAAGTAGTGGCAAAGGCGTGAACCAGCCACTACTTCAGCACCAAAATTTGCAGCAGCTAAAAGAAACAGGCTAAAAGTTGAAACTGCCAACCTTTCTTTTTTAATCAGCAGGATTGCATTCTGGTCTCGTGTTAACATTTGGCATGATTACATCTTCCACATATATGGGATTATTATCGAGAAAAAACACTAAAGACACTTTTACAAACAGATTAGACCACACCTCAAAGGAGCACACCTCGAGTGAATGCAAGGGAGCTTCGAGCAAGCTAAAGCATGACCCAACGTGCGTTTAGGTGCAGAACACAAAGTAACTGCGCTGAAAAACATTAAACAATGTCTCCTATTCATTGACCCAGCCTCTAGATCACAGCTGGCAAAAAATCATTTCCTACTCCCCAGTACATTAGTGTGATCACAAACGGTGGTGTTCGGACAAGAAGCTTGAGAGCAAGGCCACATAGTCCGGCTCTTTGTGCACAGTGCATGTGACCAACAAAAGTGGAATTCCAATCCAAGCTTCTCAGATATTGCTGGCTTTTGAAAGGCCCAGCTACTTCCTGCCAATCTTTACGCAAATCCCCTCAGGGTTTGTCAGCCTTATGTGTTAGTATGTGCCCGATGTGGCAAGACCATTTAGGGAATGGCCTGACACGCTGCTGGAATTCGTGAGGTTTATTGCGCACAAGCGCTTCAGCGTGGTGACCTAAACACAAGTATTTGTATAGGGGGTATTCACCTGCGGCTTATTTGTGGGTTGTGCATGGTGCATTCAAGGTAGATCGCCATCTTTGTGTCCCTGACAGCAGACAGCCGTACTACGCCATGAATCTTTCTCTGGTGTCGTTGACTTAAAAATTCGCAGTGTTAGTATGGTGTCGTGCCTGATGGTTGGCTGCCACACCAAGTCGCAGTCGAGGGAGAAAAAGAAGAGGGCAAGTTTGCGGGCTCCCGTTTCTTCCAGACTCCGAAAGTCAGAACACTCAAGTGTGGAAAGCACGGTTGCTCTCTGTGAGAAGGCAACGTGAATGGCTTGCGTGCATCACCTGGAAAAACCTCCACGAAGACGTGGACAAGTACCGAGTGTGTTCAAGGCACTTCATCTCGGGCAAGTCTCGGCATTGTTTGCTTTCGTCAGATATGAGCGTTAAGATTTCCAAAAATCTTTGCCCGTAGCCCGTCGCTGCTGCTCATCACGACATGCGTCGCATGCATGTTGTTTCCACAAACCGAGCGGCAGCGGGTCCTGTCACGTCGCTTCGTCTGGAAGAATCGCTAATGTGTGGTTCATATTTTAGGCCTAGTTGCGGCAAAAGTTAAATCGTGACAGAGAAACATGCTTAAGAAGCTTGAATGTGAGCTTATCGCAGGAGCAGAGGAAAACCGACACCAGAAGTAATCTCTTCTCCTGAGTTTGTTTTTGTCTCCCTTTAGTTGCCACTGCTCAGGCAAAAAGAATTTCACCCTCATTCTGCACCCCTAAGGCTCTTTTCTAATCGATTCCAAGCGATGTGACAGGACCCGCTATCGCTCGGTCCGTCGAAACCACATGCAACCGTCGTACGTCGTGATGAGCAGCAGCGACGGGCGAGAGGCAGAGTATTGTGAAAATCTTACTGCTCATGTCCGACGAAAGCAAACAGTGCCGACACCATAGGCATAGACTACGGGAAGGCATCGAACCTCGCCCTCGCCCCCCCCCCCCCCCCCCGGGCCATGATCCTTACTGAGACGCTGTTTACGTGTGATGTAACGAGCTTCTAGTAGTGTCATGTAAACAAAATAACGCCCACATTGCCTTTATTGACAAAATACATGGGAAATGGAATCCCAGTGTGCTTTCGTTAGATTCCATCTCCAGTTCTGGTGAGAAGGTAATGCGCAGCAGCAGCACCCCCCCCCCCCCCCCGGGAAAATAGAAAGTCTATGCCGCTCCCAACACTTACTTTACATGAAGTGCCTTGAAGAGACTCGGTAATTGTCGACGTCTTCGTCAAGGTTTTTCCGGTTGATGTGCGCAAGCCATTCGCGTTGCCTTCTCACGGAAAGCAACAATGGTTTCTCGCACTCGTGTTTCAGAGTCGAAGAAACAGGAGTCCGCAAGTTTTCTCTCCTCTTTTTTTTTTTCTTAAAGGGGCCCACCAACAATTTTTTGACCGGTTTTGAAGTTCGCACTGAAACGGAGCTCCGTGAAAGCAGGAACACCGAGGAAAAAAAATATTACAGAAATTCGCAATATTTTGTGAGTTATTAGAAAACTAAATATTACAGAAAACAACTTTAAATAAGCAAAACATTGCGCTTCATGACGTAAAATGAAACAGTTTAGCGATTGGAGCAAAGCGGTTGGCCAATGGGAGCAAAGCGTCAGCCCGGGCGATTGGAGCAAAGCGTCGGCCCAATCGGCTCGTCGGCCATTAGGCCTAGCTGCAACCATCGTAGCTTTGGGATCGGGTTGCCATCATCAATGAATTTACCGGGCTTATCGGATTTTGAGTGCGGAGCTGGGCGTCGCGCCGTACGAGGACACTCCACGCAAGCGCCGCGGCGCGTCTCTGCCTCAGCCCGCTTCGACTGCCGCGGAAGACTCGTCTCCCGCAACTCCGCTACCGGAGCCACCTTGGCGAGTAGGAGCTACAAACTGGTGAGCGGTCCCGTTGGGCAAAAGCTGGGTCCCGTCGCCGCACTTCACTCGAACAGTGAAAAGTCTGTCACAGCATTAAAAGAAAATAAGGGTTCCCCTGGCTCCTCTTACTGCTTTTAGTTGACCGGGACCGGGGGCACACAAGTGAAAATACGATGCGCGTTGTCTGCACGGATCACTTGTCCTCTGCTCGCGACGGTACGTCGCGGACGCCGCTGGGAGGCGCGCATGAGCGACAAGGCGTTGTTTTTTTGCCCTTTTTGAACTTTACTTTGCAACTTTATTAGCTCTATAAAAATGACTTGTTAGAGAAATAATGACGGGTCACGTGTGATATACTTTATTTCGCTTCAAAATTCCTGGGACGGCTCTCGCCAATCACGAAACCCAGAGAATGTGACATATAGTGAAAGGGAGCGCCGTTATGCGCGCATTCGGCACCTCACGACGCCACCGTCGGAGGAGGTGTTTCCGAGTTGTCAAATTAAAATATGATGCGCTAATATTTTCAAACTCTTTCGTTGTCCACTGGGTTTCTGAGACCACTAGCGTGTAGAAACCGCAAAAAAAAGTCGACGCTCAAATACTGTTGGAGGGCTCCTTTAAGGCGAAAGCCTTACTTGTCTTATTGAATGACAAATTGGAGTAAACGGCCATAAAATGTGATTGAGTGGCACGCGCTGCTCAATCGTATGTTCAAAAACACCCGTCGCCCTTGCGGCCGTCCTAGACCTCTAGGACAACCTCCGTTGTCACAGTAAGTGAAAAACAAAAGGCGTCCGTCGGCGTTGTGGCCGAAATATGCCCATAAAAATATGTCATCCAGCGTCATTAGCGTGATGTCACCGCCGGAGTGCCATGTGCAAAAGGTGTGCTTCGGACTTCATCTGTGATCATTGTGTGCTTCGTGCGGTGGACTGTGATGTGACCACGTGTACATATACGGCCTCGACATCGGCAGCAGCGTCTACATCTACGGTGGCTACCGGAGGCAAACGTGGCTGCCCATGCAAACACGCCACAACCTCCTTAAGTGTCCTCCTCTAGGCGTCGTTCTCGACGTCGACCTCTAGGCATTGTTCTTGACGTCGTCCTTAAGGTCGTCCTCGATGTCGTCGTATACGCCGTCCTAAACTTTAATGTGTAGAAACATTACTCGAAAAACATTTCTCCCATGGGACTATAATGCCTTTCGACTTCCCACACGTAAGTAGTCTTAAGTGTACTCGTGTGATTTTTGTTCGACTGCGACTTGGTGGGGCGGCTGATTGTCACGCACGACACCATATTGGCACTGCAAATTCCAATGTTAACACCAGAGAAAGATTCGTGGCATATTGTGGCTGGTCCTGGTGGAGCCGTGCGGGCGCAGCTGTCAGGGATTGACCCAAAGATGGCGATTTATCAAGAATGCATCATGTGCAACCTGCACATTAGCCGCAGGAGAATACTAACTATGCTACAATTGAAATTGCATAAATTTCTGCACAAGTTCAATGATTACACACAGGGCAGGGTCAACTGGAAGGCATTCTGCACATGTGCATCCGTCCTAGCGGAAAACTAAAATTCTGAGCAATCTCTTGGGCATTGTTTTTACTTGTAAGGTTTTTAAACACTGTGTATTCGATAATGATGGATAAGACTGATATTATGAGAAAAGGCTCGGGGGCACTGTTTGCACTTAAATGGCTTTTCCCCTGTGTGCGTTCGATTATGGCTTTGCAGATTGCAATTTTGAGAAAAGGCTTTGGGGCACTGCTTACACTTAAATGGCTTTTCTCCTGTGTGCGTTTGATTATGGCGTCTCAGACCGGAATTTCGAGCAAAGGCTTTGGGGCACTGCTTGCACTTAAATGGCTTTTCACCAGTGTGTAATCGATTATGGCGCAGCAGATGGGAATTTCGAGCAAAGGCTTGGGGGCACTGTGTGCACTTAAATGGCTTTTCACCAGTATGCGTTTGATTATGGATTTGCAGATGGTAATTTAGAGCAAAGGCTTTGGGGCACAGCTCACATTTGTAAGGTTTCCCACTAGTGTGTGTTTGATTATGGCGGGTAAGAAGGAAATGTTTAGAGAAGACTTTGGGACATTGCATGCACTTAAATGGCTTTTCACCAGTGTGTGTTCGAATATGGTAGGCCAGAAGGTAATTATAAGCAAACTCTTCGGGGCAAAGCTCGCACTTATGTGGCGTTTCACTCTTGTGCTTTTGGGTTTTGCTCAGCACTTGGGACTTGGACCCAGACATGGGAGGATGCTGGCACTTGGATTGTTCATCACCATAGGCAGCCAGGTGGCTCACAATTCCACGCTGATCTCTGGTGACATAGGCGCAGGAACAGCATCCAAACAAGGCGTCCTCGGTGGCCTTCAATGTGCAGCTGGACTCTCCCAACAATGTGGCTCCATCATCTAGAAGAAAAGACTATGTATTGACACACAAGGAAAGCCCTACCAAGATAGCCACTTAGTTTAAAAAAGAAGTCTTTAACACAGTTTTGGAATTTAGTTCACAGAAGCACTAAAATGCAACTGGCACCGTTAGGAATCTCTAGTCTTGAAAAGTGAAAATCTTATAAAAAATAATTCCATAGATTTTTGTCATTTTGATTTCTAAATCACACGTTACATATCTTCTCGCTTTGGACAGTTGTTTTCTGAAAATACTGTTTATCTCACGAAAATGTTTTCATTACAGTATTTTTGGATTTAGAATCTGGATCTGAATACTTTTTGTGGGCTGGAAATCTCATCATTCAGAGTGCAACAACATTTCTGGAGACTGTTAGATATGAAGTTCTCTAATTGGCAACGACTGTTCGTCTATGGCAGGTCACGTGGAAAGTCTTCCTTCAAGTTACTAAAAGAATATCAACATGTGACGCAGTCACGTCTCGCTATATAATGTAATTTCCCAACTCATCGGCCATCCTTGAGTCATCACCCACCCCACTTTTCGGGTGAATATTGATTACCGACAAAACATAGTGATTGACCACCCCTATAATACCCCAACACGGACTCTGCAATCCACGGACATTCGTTGTACACGAATGCTGCGGCTGCGGACCTTACAATTGGAGGACGTCCTTGACAAAACAAAAAGAGAAAGACACTTCACTTTGTTTACGCATTTCCTCCCTTTTTTCGTGACCTTGGAGTCATAGTACATGCATGCGAAAAGAAAACGATGGAGAGACCAAAATTAAACTTTGTTTTGCAATCAAAAAGTTTGTTCAGACAAAAAAAAAATGAAGCTGGAAAGATAACACAAGCAGTAACTTATTCAGGGATCACGAGATCAGCGAACGTCTTATATCCTGGAAATGTAACTACAGAGTGTGAGGTCAAAGTTTGTCTCCACCAGAGTAAGGTCACCCCAAACACATTCCTTCTTTCGGAACGTTGTGACTCCAGTTGAGAAGGTTGCACAATGTTTAAGACAAAGCCGACGGGTAGATAAAGATTTACTGGACCCGAGTACAGAAGTTTGTAGAGCGTCCCATTTGAAGCTCACTGTTCGTGGTGCTGTCCATGCTATGCAGCAACGCCGTCTCAACCCGCGGTGATAGCATGCCAAGCACAGATGCACGCATGTATGCACCAAACAAGGAAGTTGCACAAGAGCCTACTCGTTGCAATTCACAAGGCGCCCGACTTGGCCCGACGCCAAAGTATTTGCCAACGCAATCCCCAACTTTCCCGCTTCCCCAGCATTGTTCTTCGTCGCTTCTTTTGTCCTCTGGCTCGCTCAATGCGCCTAATTAGTTTTTATATTTTCTTGTTGATTTTTATTTTTAAGTAACGATGAGAACATAGCAGTGTTAGAGACATACTTTTACGAAAAAAACGTTTGTGCTGTATGCCAATCAGCAGTATCCATCGCACGTATGCAAGTAACAAACTTTGTGATAGTAAAACATTCTTTCGTGAGCATTTCTTGCATAAAACCATTAAATTAATTCGAGTTCTGAGGTTAATGCATCTGTTGTGCAGCCGTGCTAGATATGTACAGAAAAATGGGCACTTTTTAAACTTTTTCTAAATGCTTTGTGCTTACTCACGGAGACATGGCCCATCCCACTTTTATGAATTTTATGGCAGGGGGTGGGCGATGGCACGGAATATTACAGTAGATACAATTTCGGGGGACCAATCCCTCCCATCCAACTATGCCTCGTAAGTGTTAAAACCCTCAGTCCAGACTGTGGACAGCTAGTTTTGAAAACTGGGTAAATACATGCAGATTTGCCTCAGTATTACGGACACCAAGAGGGTCCACTAATAAAAATTAGTTGAGACGTTGGGTTAAGAGTTTCAGTACTGCCTGCTGCTGGTTGCGCTTCCTTTAAGAGGTATAAGACCTGGGCACCGAATAACAGTTTAATTTATCAGGGCTTTCCAGCCAAATGCGTAAACTGCCCTTTTCTCCTTATGTTACGATATTCTTCATATTTGTCATCTGTGGTCGCTTTTCTAGCCTCTGCCGTCTGTGCACATTTACGGGTAGGCACGTTTTGATGAAAATCAGTCTGGTAAACCTAGGCACATCTTGGGAAGGCAATAATTTCAAAGGGAGCACTTTGCTGGCTCAGCCCAGGACAGGAGTCTTAAGAAACACATACAGGGCAGCAAAAACACATACAGGGCTAAATTTTAAGATATAGATAAAATATGCAGCATATGAAAACAGGGAAACAATTCAACGTGTTTCTAACATGTAAGGAGTTTAGTGGTGCCCTTCCCAAAGGCATAACAGACGTACCAGGGGCCCTGAGTTTCACTGGAAAAGATGCAAATTGGGATTACAGTGAAGTAGGTGCAACAAGGAGATTAGGGTGCTTGTGGAAATCATCTGGATAAAGCTTGTGGCACACGAGGGTGGAAGACAATGGGGTGGAGGTCACATAACAAGCGGTCAGCAGGGAAGCATGCCGAGAAGGCACGAGCTGGTGCCGGAAAGAGCGTGGTAGAGCGTGCTGTTCGAGGCAGGGTGGGAACGATGAAGCCGGGTTTCGCTTTTGGCCATCCCTGGAGCGTTCACCAGCGCGGTTCGGAACAGGACCAGAGGGAACGGTGAGCCCTGGCCATTCCGGCCGGGCCATGACGACACCGGGGTGGTTCCGCAGCAAGCAACACTCGAGCGATGATAGCCCCGAACAGCTGGTCTACGCAGCGCTGGCATGGGAAGGACGATCCGCATGCCTGGACACAGACTCCGAGTGCCAGCTCTGATTGACGGGCGACAACCAAGGTCAGCGGGCCCAAACTGCTAGCTCTCAAGGACGGGCATTGGGGAAGTACAGTAAACCCATTCGCTGTCTTCTTGTGTTACGCCACTCCATGGGGGATGAGCGAAGCACAGACTGATCGGGCGGCGATTATTATAGAGCGACCCTACAAGTTTTATCAGATTACATGTCTCCACTTATATGTGAAGCAGAACAAGTTGCGATAACAGCAGAAGCAACAGCAGCTGCTGAAGCTGCACTGAATGCGACGCCTCGTATGTGGGGGAAACGAAGAACTTTCCCGAACGTCTGCGCAGACATAAGTACGACGTGAAGAAGGAAGAAATCCAAGGCAACGCGCTAGCGGAAAATTCTCAGAAGACCGGCCACGTCATCGCCGTCGACAGCAGTTCCATCCTCGACAAAGAAAGGAATTGGAAAAAGCGGCTCTTATTAGAATCTTGCCATATACAAAATACGAACAACACTGAACCGATCCACCGGAACGCTGCCAAGCAGCTATATACAAGGGCTACGATGCGCCACAGACAAAAACAGAAGAAAATAATACTGCGAGAAAGAAGAAAATGACAGCTTGCTACCGTTGGGCCCACATACACTTTCCTCACATTGTTTAAATCATAATCTTTGCTAATTTTCCACGATGAAAAATAATCTCTCGTAAAACCTGTTTTCTCACTCACTTTGTTTTAACCGCCTTCATTTGTTAGTTTTCCACATTGAATAAAATGTGTAAGCGCCAAGATCGCATTGTTTGCTTTTTTTCTACTTCAGAGTTTCCTGTTGTTTTTCGCTAGCCAAAACTGCATTTGAATCACAAGGAAATTAAACGGCGAATTTGCAATCCCTTTAATGTATATCTCGATTTATTTGATAATCGTGAACTACCAACACAGGAAAAAAAATGAATGACAGCAATTTGAAACGCTAAATTTTACCGCGGCTGCTTATATCTTATCGGATGCCCGTCTCTAAAAAATATGGCACACGAGAGCAATTAGTATGTAGAGGTTCGTCAAATGGCTCCGCAACTTTTCTCTCGAACAAGCACATCAAGCTGAAAATAAAACGGCTTGAAATCTGCATTTACCTGATTGGATGTTTCAAAATGTGGTAGAGTCTTCCAATCTAGGTATATCGGGCTGTCGACATGCTCGTCAATTATTTATGTAAAAGAAACAGCCGAGAACTGGCCAAAAAACCATCCCCACACCATTTCTTACGCCCGAGGCAGCCATAACGCAACTCTGTCGGGTAGCATACAGACCTACCGAGGTGCCTCCTAGCGAGAAATTTCCCTTCCTGTGCTGCGCGTCTACCGCTGCTCGACACCACCCAACTCTCTAGGCACCATAGTCGGCGCTGCACGGGGGGATGGCCATAGCGATTCATTGCGAGTGCGATGCAGCTCATCCATAGCTCATGGAGCTCACGCATTGTGATCACCAAAATTGTGTCACTCATGCAAAAATTATAATTAACACAGGTAGCTGTATTTAAATTTGACTGAATTTTATGTTTTCATAACTTGAAAATGTTGCTATTCATCAGTAACCAAGGCTTAGCTCCTCCGCATCAAATGCGTGGCAAAGCTTGTCACATTGTGACTACTGTTCGAAAGAAATGCAGAAATTTTCACTTCTTGTATCGTCTGACATGGCCCGGCAAAATAAAACAATTCATTCGTTCTATCCAATTTTTACTAATTTGTTTCAAATTTAAAATTGCTCGCTGAGAAGTGCATCATACATTATATGCATGCGTTCGCAAAATCAAACATACAAAACGTAGCAATTCATGGAATTGCTATGTTTTGCCCGATATTTTGGAATGCTGAAGTGTCACTGACCTACTAGATTTAAGACCTCAATCGCGAGGGGGCCTAGCAAACTTCGACTGGGTAAAAAAGTAGTGTTTTCGATGAAATGACTACGGAAGCCAGCCATCACCTCCTCTTGCCAGTTATTTTGAGAAAATGTTTTACTAGGTTTACAAAATTCAAAAAGGTATCATCTCGAAGCTAATAAGAGACTAGCACTCAGAGAACACATTGGAACCAACAGGATACACAGAGTCACTTTCACTGAAGTGTTTACTGCACATGCAAGTGGTTCTCGAATTTCGGTTTCCTATCTTCAATTTGATGAAACCTTCCTTTGC